GTATTTGAATGTTAATCTAAGGACAGTGCAGAGGATTCAGAAAGAGTTGAATGAGTCTAATGGCGATTACGAAGAGACGGCAGCTCGAAAAAGTCACACTGCTCGTTCTAAGAAAAGGATTCTCGAATTTGTTGGCGAGGACCACCGACTCATCATGGAGACTTACATCAAATGCCTTGAAGAGGCAGTGCTGCCTTGTATCAAGATGGTGGTTAATGGAAGACCCTATGTCTGGCAACAGGACTGTGCACCATGCCACACAAGCAGGAGAATCCAATCATTGTTGTCAGACAATTTTTGAGGCCACACTACCCATTACATCTGGCTAGCTAACTCCACAAACTGCAACCTCCTTGATTATTATGGGGGGGGGTACAGCATTCACCAAATTAAACAAGAAGACCACCTAAAAAAGACGTAGAAAATTCTGAAGGTCGTGGCTGAAGCCAATGGCGATTTTATTGAATAAACTTAATCTTTAGTATTTCAAGATATTTCTGCGTAATTTTGGTAAATCTAAATGGGGCACATAATAATCGAGTTATATTTATTATAAAACTCAGGTTCTGTGTGTGTGTGTTCGTTTATATATGGGATCGGATTTTCTACATTTTTCAACCGATTTCAACAAAATTTCACTTTTTTTTTGGCAGATAGTATTTCTTATTGTCTTGCACACTCTTTTCTTTATTTTTACATTCAGAATGCTTTAAAAATTCCATTTACAAGACAATTGTTTATAATAAAATTCTATTCAATCGGTAGACTCATAACGATTGAAAACAATGTTTTTGTTTGAGTTTGGCCAATTCATAAAAAAAAGAAGCACAAAACAAAACAAAAATATTTAAGACATGCGTGTCCGTCAACCTTAAACAATAATCTTTGTCGATTTTATTTTTCAGTCTTTATGATGGTCGATACTTGATCTATCTCTTACTTTTACATCCTCGGGCAACGCCGGGCTCTACTGCTAGTGTAGATATATATATATATATATATATATATATATATATATATATCCTCTGAGTGGTGTAAGAGTAGTGAGTTCAATCGTCACTGGGTGCTCTATATTCCAGTTTTGTGCCATATCTAAGCAGCTTAGAAAATCACTATATATATATATGTGTGTGTGTGTGTGTGACAGAGAGAGAGAGTGAGAGACGATACAGTTCAAAGTTTGAGGCCATCTCTGCTAGATTTATTTTAAATGGGCCAAAGTAGTTTTACTTTAAATAAGAGAAAGTGGTTAAAAAAGTTAGACATGAATTTTATTAGAAACTGTGCTAAGAAAAAATAGATTATGATTAAATATTGCTCTCATCATGATATACATCCTTATCTTTGACTAGCAGCCATAGCAAGTTGGTCGATCCGAATAAAAAGCGTTCAATTAGAATGAAGCAAAAAAACATTTATTTCGTCTTCGAGGTTTGATTTTAAAAGAAAAAGTACAGCCTGATGATGAGGACATGAAGTTCTTGAAAGTACTTGCTGCTTCAAAAAAATACACCAGATCCATCTGACAACAATTTTATACATAAGGATAACATCATTCAGTGGACTGTTAGTAGTTTAATGCTTATATTAAGTCTGTCAGCGAAGAGATTTCTGCTATTTTGCTAAATGATTCTATATATCTATATCTATATATATATGCAACAAAAGTAACAGGGTAAAAAGGTTAAACAAATTAAGAATTGTTTTTAAGACAAAATAGGGTACTGACAAGTGATCGCAACGTTATGCTTTCAAGACAAGAAAGAACAGAAATATGGCAGACGTGATCTACATTATTGGTTAGGAAGTAATCCTAGCATGTGCGATTCGTCTATACATTTGGAGTTGAGTGTTTTTGTAATCATTCGTAACAGGTCTGAAACCAACGACTTTTAACGATATGTCTGTATTTTTGCAATTTATTGTCAAGCATTTCGACCACATTTCTAAAAGGAAGCATGTCTTTAATCAAAATCATTGTAAAGAAGCCTTGAGGCTTTTTGACTGTACAATATTTTCACAAAAGTATTGAAGATTCGCTTTAAGGATGGAAGCAATATTTTGATTGAATATGTAGTTTTTCTTTGAATGATTTCTTTTTATAAATTTATCCAAATTAATTGGCAATTTCCCGAGGAATAAGCTGGTCTTTTCAAGATACGAAATAAATATTAAACGTATACGTAAAAACTCAGCAGTTTCTAAGAAAACGGACAATTATTTTCAGCTCATTACAGGATGGCTTGGACTTTGTTTTTAATTAATTAAAAAAAAATTAATGAACTTGTTAGTACATAAATGATATTCCACTTCAAATTCTTTGTTCTTTGAAAATGAAAAATCAATAAAATGGATCTTTTGTGTGACATTTAATCATTATCGTGACTACTAAATGAGCCACGACCATAACCAAGCTGAACATAAAATAAAATAACATAAAAAAGTGGCAAATGGTGGTTTAAAAAATTGAAAAAGAAACAGTAAAACAGAAATATAAACGTATCGGTTACTGATAAAATCTTTGGGAACGTTATTAGCATGTAATGCATAGACAAAAGTATTTAAAAGCTGTTTGAAGATAGGGAGAAAAATTGATACAGATCCCAGTTAAAAAGACAATTAAAAAATAGAATAAGAAAAAGAAGAAGAAATCTTAAAAAATGAAAATGTTTGGTTCATTTAATTTGGTTTTCAGATTCAGTATGAAAGATTTCGTTAGAAACAAAGAAAAAAAGTGTTGAAATTTATGTAATATCAACCCAGTTATATGTCAGTCAATACATCTTCACAAATGAAGAGAAAACTTTATGTAAAAGACGTGATTCGATGAAGAAATACTGATATTATAACGAATATACGATCATCAAGGAGGTCTTAGGCAAACAAACAACAAAATGATACATATGCTTAAATCAAAAAGAGGCATTTGAAATTTTGATACATATAATGAGGAAAGAGGACGTGGAAAATGTAACACTCAGAGTACATATTGAAGGCAACAGGTATAAAATTAAAGAGTTAGTCGCCTACTTAACATATCTGCGCAAATAAGGGTTGTTAAGTGCAGTAACTGAAGACAGAAATGTGAAACAGGAATTCGATGGCACATGGGAATAGGGGAAAATGCTTTCCGAATAATTAATAGCGAGGAAAGATTCGTTCGAAACAAAGAAAAAAACTGCCATACCCTCCTATACGGTTATAAATGCTGAACATTCTCCCCACAGTTAAATAGACTTGAAGCAACAGAAATATGCTTCAACAGAAGAATGCTCTGGATACACTGACTAAACATGTGAGCAGTGGCAGTAAATGCTGAACAATCTCATTACAGATGAAGAAAATTCTCGGAGATGTGGGCCCACAAAAAGATGTTGTTAATGCCATGAACTTGATATGTAAGCAAGGTTGTTTTTTTGTTTTTTTAAAAAAAAACAAAACAAAAGGAAATAGGATATAGAAAGACACGTTTGCTTAAAATAAAGAAAGGGACGGTTGAAATGCTTTCTACAGATGATAAAAGAAGGTTTGGAGTATTTAAACCCACGAGATATATTGAAAGCAAGAAGGGCATAGGGAAAGAATGGGTACCCCACATAACAATTTTTTTCTGAAATGGCAGCAAAGATGTCAACAGTTGCTTAGAGCTACACAAGGGAGGTGAACTTGAGAATTTTATGGCGGCACATAAAAAAATTGAAAGGGATGGAACGTGTATAATAACAAAGAATTGGTTTTAATTTTAATTGATAGAACATAATATGATATACCGATTAACTCTCCACAACAGAAGATTAACGCTTTTCCCCTACAGATGAAGGAATAGACAAAATACATGTACTTGCATGCAGAGGGAAGCTATTATTTTGTTACTATTTTCTTTCTCTAGGATTTATAAAGAATTACATTACGTTATTTTTCTTTTTTTTTTAAAGTTTCGTATTTTTTTCTTTTTGCTGCATTGTCTGAAATTTCGGACAAAAACGATCTCGTCTTTACATTCCTAATTGCTTTGAGCTAAATCTACAAATGGAGACCAGCTTTCCAATTTGTCTTGCAGCACAGGATTTGTGTGTTCTTTATTTAGCTTTCTGTCAATTCGATTCGTCTACTTTTCACTTAAATACTTTTTTGTATTTCCTTCGTTTTTTTCATTTTTATTTTTCGGACTTCACTCACTTTTCATATTCTTTCCTTTCTCCTAATTATCTTCTCATTTAAGTTCTCTTTTGGACTTTTTCCAACTGCATACTTCTTCTTTTCATATCCCACCATTGTCTTAATCACACTTTCGATTCCACTTGTTTTTATCTTTCCTTCTTGCCACGCTTTCCCTTTTCATATTCTCTCCTTTCACCCAATTTTTCTTTCACTTCCCATATTTTTTTGTCTTTCTTCCCTTGTACACTTTTCTTTTTATCCACATTGCATTCTCACTATGAATAAAAACAACCTTCATTTACTATTGCAATGGCTAACATCAGTGTAAAAGCCAAGCTCTCAAAAGGAAAACTTCTGGAACGGACAATTTTCCCTGGGTATCTTTTGAGAAAAAATCCAAAATCATTGATGACAAAGAGCATCAATATTCAACTTTCATTTAGAAATATTACCCTACAGCCGTTCAAACAGGCTATTCTGTATCGTCTCATTTAGCTATCAATGTGCCTGGAAAAGAAGTAAAACAATTTTGATGTCCTACCTTCGAGAATTATTCCTAAACCGATATCAGCAATAACGATTCTGTGGTCCCTGGCAAATAACTCAGAAAATTGGCATATCAAAGTTTCACGAAAGTTCATAAATTTTGCATCCGATTTGATGTGAAAAGCATATCATAAGCGCCACAACTGAACTATTTCAACCAAGCAAACCTGGTGAGATTTTGAGAGATTTCTGGAACCATCTGGTTTAATAACAATGAGTTTCTGGCTCTGCATCGTTTCTTACGACACTGGTTCATCAGCTGATAAAGCCTGAATTGCTGCTACACATGCATCTCAACCAGTATGGATCGATATATGGATAGACGAGAAACATTTACTTACCCGGATGATTTGATTGAACAGTTCATTGATTGCTTTCTCAACACCCGGACACTCTGCTTGGTCGGTAATGCCCATCACAGTTCTCATGTAAGATCCAAGACCATCCAACAGCGCGGAAAGACATTCTGGGTTCGAAGCTAATTTCTTCAGCGCACCTAATGATCTTTCTGTGTCGTCACACGCCGTTTTATCTAAAAGAAAAAGAAAAAGACTGGTTAAAATTTTCACGATGTATTTGAATCGTATAAAACGACATTAAATAGTTTAAAAGCTTGGTTGATTCCCATAGTAGAAAGATCAACATTTAAAATTCTTTCTTTTGTATAGGCACAAAAATGACAAATCAAAACTATTTATATTTGAAATAAATGTTAAAAAATTAGGAGAAAAGTCGAATCCGTTCTTCCATTCGGCGAAGAGCATTTTTTCTATGTACCGTGTCCCTCCAGTAAGTTGCCGGTCATGGCTCTCCACAAATTCTTGTCCTTTGCAACCTTTAATAAAATTTGTCTTTTGTTATCTCTCCTAAACTCCGTTCTGCTTCCATTTACTCAAGCTCTCTAGGTAGGTTACTCATAGTTTTCTTCTCTCCGTGAGTATCAAATTTTCAAATCAGTCTTTCCTCATTATGTGTCCTAGAAATTTCAACTGTCTTTTCCTGATGTTAGAATCCTTTTAGTTTCCATTTTTACTAAAATTGCTTCTATATTCGTTCTGTTGTATTCCCAGCATCATTCTGTAGAACCCAATTTTGTTGCTTCAAGTCTCTTCTTCATGAGGATATTGTCTGTTATCCGCTGAGATACAGAACTAATGTTACGTAACAGTAATCTTTTCTTTGTTTCTCACGAAAGTTTCCTGTTTTCTCCTATTTTGTTTAGCTTTTGGAAGGCATCTTCCGCTATCCTAGTGCGCATTTGGATGTCAGTATTGGACGTCCCGTCCTCTGTTGAAACACTTCCAAAAAATTTAAATTGTACTTTGATTTTGGCATCACCAATTTGTAATGTGTACACCCTTGTTCAAATTAATTGAAACAAATCCTTTGGTTTTCTTTCTTTCACCATAATGGACCCACTGGAGTGACAGGATTTAATCGATTTCTATTTTTTCCTCAGATTAAGTCATTTGCAGTGATGTGCAGTAATATGATTCTATAGCTGAAGTGTATGATGAAATTCGTATGGCCTTGAAAGATATTACGTCATCCGTGATTGGATCAGATTTTCATTACACCCAGACCTTATTGTCTCGACTGTTGATTAGTTGTCCTACAACCATTGTCTGCGATTGACTTTAATCCAAGAAAAGTGTACGAAAATTGTAACGCTTCACGAACACACTGGCAAGCCTTACTAGTGAATAAATCGAAGTGCTATAGATTTCCCCTGAAACTTTGATTTAAATAAAATCTAGAATCTGTGGTCAGTCTGAAAGTAAAGTGTTCGTTGAATGGACATAAGAAGTACTAATATGTGCACTGGGTCATATTTTATTAGAAAAATACGAAAAAAGTAAATAATAACGAAATTATAGGTTTTGTTTCAATTAATTTGCACAGGTGTGTATGTTGGTCGGCTCTTTTTGCTGACAAGCATGCATTCCGTCTTCTTGCCATAGATGTTTAGTTCTTCCTTCTCGTTTTATTCCGTCTGCTCGAATAAAAGAACAAGCCATTCCAATATGAAGACAACTAGTAAATCGTGGCAGTAAGACGAAGAATGGAAATAAGAAATTAGAAATAAAAATATGAAGTAATTCATGTGATCATTTTGTTTTTACAAGTATATGAATATAGACACCCTCATGTATCGACATATAAATGATTGCATACTAGATGACAGGAAACTTTTGCAGAAATATTTACAATCAGATATGGAAATGAGAATATATATTTTATATCTGAATTAGAAATATTTAGTTTTTCTTTTCTTCAATAAGAGAAGCCATGTGCAAATGAACAATTTCCATCGGAAAATCAGTGTACTAAGCCACATAACCAAAATCATCATCCTAATTTAGAAGAATAGAACGCGTAAAAGAATTAGGCGGGAAATAGAGAAAGAACAATGTAGTTTTATTAAAGACAGTGGAACATGAAATGCGTTATGAAAAAAATAATATCGCAGATAATAATAGAGATGGAAAATAACGTATATCAATGTTTTACAGACTACACAAAAGCATCTAAAAATACACGACACAGACATACTTGAACTGATTAGAAAAATGATGTAATGAATATGCATATACCTGGGTTCCCCCTCACAGTAATATGATTAGCTGGTGTCAGCTATAAATACAGACTGATGTAGAGGTACAAGACCACGCCTATTGTCTTCGACTTTTGCCTATGCCTATTGCCTACCACTACGACGAGGACCAGTCTATTACGGTTACCTGCTAGATTGTCCTACCCGGTTACAGTAGTCAACAACCACTTTGCTACTTCGAACAAATATATCCCTTTCCGGGATATATCAAAACATTTATTTATTTAGGAAATATATTAGAATAATCCAAAACCTACGTCTACATACGGATAAAAAATGAATGAGTGATTAGTCCAAAACAGAAAGGGGCAAAAACAAGAATGAGTATTCCCAGCGGATTTATTTAACCATTTCAACGAGGCAATCCGAAGATAACTAGAAGTCCTACCTGGATTTATTGGTGGTGAGCAGACTTAACAACATAAGAGACACAAACGTGGAAGACAGAAAGAAAATTGCAGGAAATAGCTCACAAAGTATAAAAGGAAAACATGGAGAAAGGTGAAACAAATAGCAAAGAAGTAATGGATTTATTTATAATCTCATTTTTAATTGCTTCAGAATTTATAGTGGATACTTCATATATACTTCCAGTATAATAACATCCCAAGTAATAAACCACATTCATTAAAAATAAATCCATTAATTCTTTAGACATTGCTTTGTTTTTACGTTTCGGATGAGAAGCCGAACAAATATTCGAGAAAAATAAACTGAACAAACAAATTTGCTTCCATTGAAAAGAGAAAATTGAGCCTTGGTGAACTGTGACACTCTCCGTGACCGAGCGAGAGATAGATAGATACAATCAGACTGAGACAGATAGATAGATAAATACAGACTTATATATATATATATATATATATATATATATATATGAGATAAATAGAGAGATAGATCGATAGAAAGATACAAACAGACTGAGATAGATAGATAGATACAAACGGACTGAGATAGATAGATAGATACAAACAGACTGAGATAGATAGATAGATACAAACAGACTGAGATAGATAGATAGATAGATACAAACAGACTGAGATAGATAGATAAATAGATAGATAGATGCAAACAGACTGAAATAGAGAGATAAATACAAACAGACAGAGATAGATAGATACAAACAGACTGAGATATATAGATAGATAGATACAAACAGACTGAGATAGATAGATAGATAGATAAAATACAGACTGAGATAGATAGATAGATAGATAGATAGATAGATAGAGAGTTAGATAGATACAAACAGACTGAGATAGAGAGATAGATACAAACAGACTGAGATAGAGAGATAGATACAAACAGACTGAGATAGAGAGATAGATACAAACAGACTGAGATAGAGAGATAGATACAAACAGATATAGATAGAGAGATACAAACAGACTGAGATAGATAGATAGATAGAGAGATAGATAGATACAAACAGACTGAGATAGATAGATAGATAAATACAAACAGACTGAGATAGATAGATAGATACAAACAGACTGAGATAGATAGATAGATACAAACAGACTGAGATAGATAGATAGATACAAACAGACTGAGATAGATAGATAGATACAAACAGACTGAGATAGATAGATACAAACAGACTGAGATAGATAGATACAAACAGACTGAGATAGATAGATAGATAGATAGATACAAACAGACTGAGATAGAGAGATAGATACAAACAGACTGAGATAGAGAGATAGATAGATAGATAGATAGATAGATACAAACAGACTGAGATAGAGAGATAGATACAAACAGACTGAGATAGAGAGATAGATAGATAGATAGATAGATACAAACAGACTGAGATAGATAGATACAAACAGATTGTGATAGAGAGATAGATACAAACAGACTGAGATAGATAGATAGATAGATACAAACAGACTGAGATAGATAGATACAAACAGACTGAGATAGATAGATAGATAGATAGATAGATAGATACAAACAGACTGAGATAGAGAGATACAAACAGACTGAGATAGAGAGATAGATACAAACAGACTGAGATAGAGAGATAGATAGATAGATAGATAGATAGATAGATAGATACAAACAGACTGAGATAGAGAGATAGATACAAACAGACTGAGATAGAGAGATAGATAGATAGATACAAACAGACTGAGATAGATAGATACAAACAGATTGTGATAGATAGATAGATACAAACAGACTGAGATAGATAGATAGATAGATAGATAGATAGATACAAACAGACTGAGATAGATAGATAGATACAAACAGACTGAGATAGATAGATAGATACAAACAGACTGAGATAGAGAGATACAAACAGACTGAGATAGATAGATAGATACAAACAGACTGAGATAGATAGATAAATAGATAGATAGATGCAAACAGACTGAAATAGAGAGATAAATACAAACAGACAGAGATAGATAGATAAAATACAGACTGAGATAGATAGATAGATAGATAAAATACAGACTGAGATAGATAGATAGATAGATAAAATACAGACTGAGATAGATAGATAGATAGATAAAATACAGACTGAGATAGATAGATAGATAGATAGATAGATAGATAGATAGATAGATAGAGAGTTAGATAGATACAAACAGACTGAGATAGAGAGATAGATACAAACAGACTGAGATAGATAGAGAGATAGATACAAACAGATTTAGATAGAGAGATAGATAAACAGACTGAGATAGATAGATAGATGGATAGATGGATGAATAGATAGATAGAGAGTTAGATAGATACAAACAGACTGAGATAGAGAGATAGATACAAACAGACTGAGATAGAGAGATAGATACAAACAGACTGAGATAGAGAGATAGATACAAACAGACTGAGATAGAGAGATAGATACAAACAGACTGAGATAGAGAGATAGATACAAACAGATATAGATAGAGAGATACAAACAGACTGAGATAGATAGATAGATAGAGAGATAGATAGATAGATGATACAAACAGACTGAGATAGATAGATAGATAGATAGAGATAAACAAACAGACTGATAGATAGATAGATACAAACAGACTGAGATAGAGATAGATAGATACAAACAGACTGAGATAGATAGATAGATACAAACAGACTGAGATAGATAGATAGATACAAACAGACTGAGATAGAGAGATAGATACAAACAGACTGAGATAGATAGATACAAACAGACTGAGATAGATAGATACAAACAGACTGAGATAGATAGATACAAACAGACTGAGATAGATAGATAGATAGATAGATACAAACAGACTGAGATAGAGAGATACAAACAGACTGAGATAGAGAGATAGATAGATAGATAGATAGATAGATACAAACAGACTGAGATAGAGAGATAGATACAAACAGACTGAGATAGAGAGATAGATAGATAGATAGATACAAACAGACTGAGATAGATACAAACAGATTGTGATAGAGAGATAGATAAAAACAGACTGAGATAGATAGATAGATAGATAGATAGATAGATAGATACAAACAGACTGAGATAGATAGATAGATACAAACAGACTGAGATAGATAGATAGATACAAACAGACTGAGATAGATAGATACAAACAGACTGAGATAGATAGATAGATACAAACAGACTGAGATAGATAGATAGATACAAACAGACTGAGATAGATAGATAGATACAAACAGACTGAGATAGATAGATAAATAGATAGATAGATGCAAACAGACTGAAATAGAGAGATAAATACAAACAGACAGGGATAGATAGATACAAACAGACTGAGATATATAGATAGATAGATAAAATACAGACTGAGATAGATAGATAGATAGATAAAATACAGACTGAGATAGATAGATAGATAGATAAAATACAGACTGAGATAGATAGATAGATAGATAGATAAAATACAGACTGAGATAGATAGATAGATAGATAGATAGATAGATAGATAGATAGATAGATAGAGAGTTAGATAGATACAAACAGACTGAGATAGAGAGATAGATACAAACAGACTGAGATAGAGAGATAGATACAGATTTAGATAGAGAGATACAAACAGACTGAGATAGATAGATAGATAGAGAGATAGATAGATACAAACAGACTGAGATAGATAGATAGATAGATACAAACATACTGAGATAGAGAGATACAAACAGACTGAGATAGAGAGATACAAACAGACTGAGATAGAGAGATAGATACAAACAGACTGAGATAGATGGATACAAACAGACTGATGAGATAGATAGATACAAACAGACTGAGATAGATAGATAGATACAAACAAACAGACTGGAGATAGATAGATACAAACAGACTGAGATAGAGAGATAGATACAAACAGACTGAGATAGATAGATAGATACAAACAGACTGGGATAGATAGATAGATGGGAGAGATAGATAGATACAAACAGACTGAGATAGAGAGATAGATACAAACAGACTGAGATAGAGAGATAGATACAAACAGACTGAGATAGAGAGATAGATACAAACAGACTGAGATAGAGAGATAGATACAAACAGACTGGGATAGAGAGATAGATACAAACAGACTGGGATAGAGAGATAGATAGATAGATAGATAGACAGACTGAGATAGATAGATACAAACAGACTGAGATAGATAGATACAAACAGACTTAGATAGAGAGATAGATACAAACAGACTGAGATAGAGAGATAGATACAAACAGACTGAGATAGAGAGATAGATACAAACAGACTGAGATAGATAGATACAAACAGACTGATATAGATAGATACAAACAGACTGAGATAGATACAAACAGACTGAGATAGATAGATAGATAGATACAAACAGACTGAGATAGATAGATAGATAGATACAAACAGACTGAGATAGAGAGATAGATACAAACAGACTGAGATAGAGAGATAGATAGATAGATAGATAGATAGATAGATACAAACAGACTGAGATAGAGAGATAGATACAAACAGACTGAGATAGAGAGATAGATAGATAGATAGATACAAACAGACTGAGATAGATAGATACAAACAGATTGTGATAGAGAGATAGATACAAACAGACTGAGATAGATAGATAGATAGATAGATAGATAGATAGATAGATACAAACAGACTGAGATAGATAGATAGATACAAACAGACTGAGATAGATAGATAGATACAAACAGACTGAGATAGATAGATACAAACAGACTGAGATAGAGAGATAGATACAAACAGACTGAGATAGAGAGATAGATACAAACAGACTGAGATAGAGAGAGATAGAGAGATAGATACAAACAGACTGAGATAGAGAGATAGATACAAACAGACTGAGATAGAGAGATAGATACAAACAGACTGAGATAGAGAGATAGATACAAACAGACTGAGATAGAGAGATAGATACAAACAGACTGGGATAGAGAGATAGATACAAACAGACTGGTATAGAGAGATAGATAGATAGATAGATAGATAGATAGACAGACTGAGATAGATAGATACAAACAGACTGAGATAGATAGATACAAACAGACTTAGATAGATAGATACAAACAGACTGAGATAGAGAGATAGATACAAACAGACTGAGATAGATAGATACAAACAGACTGAGATAGAGAGATAGATACAAACAGACTGAGATAGATAGATAGATAGATAGATACAGACTGAGATAGATAGATACAAACAGACTGAGATAGATAGATACAAACAGACTGAGATAGAGAGATACAAACAGACTGAGATAGATAGATAGATAGATAGATAGATAGATAGATAGATAGATACAAACAGACTGAGATAGAGAGATACAAACAGACTGAGATAGAGAGATAGATACAAACAGACTGAGATAGAGAGATAGATAGATAGATAGATAGATAGATAGATACAAACAGATTGTGATAGAGAGATAGATACAAACAGACTGAGATAGATAGATAGATAGATAGATAGATAGATAGATAGATACAAACAGACTGAGATAGATAGATAGATACAAACAGACTGAGATAGATAGATACAAACAGACTGAGATAGAGAGATAGATACAACCAGACTGAGATAGAGAGATAGATGCAAACAGACTGAGATAGATAGATAGATGAGAGATAGATACAAACAGACTGAGATAGAGAGATAGATACAAACAGACTGAGATAGAGAGAGATAGATACAAACAGACTGAGATAGAGAGATGATACAAACAGACTGTGATAGATAGATAGATAGATAGATAGATAGATAGATAGATAGATAGATAGACAGACTGAGATAGATAGATACAAACAGACTGAGATAGATAGATACAAACAGACTTAGATAGATACAAACAGACTGAGATAGAGAGATAGATACAAACAGACTGAGATAGAGAGAGATACAAACAGACTGAGATAGAGAGATAGATACAAACAGACTGAGATAGAGAGATAGATACAAACAGACTGAGATAGATAGATAGATAGATAGATAGATAGATATATAGATACAAACAGACTGAGATAGAGAGATAGATACAAACCGACTGATAGATAGATAGATAGATAGATACAAACAGACTGAGATAGAGAGATAGATACAAACAGACTGAGATAGAGAGATAGATACAAACAGACTGAGATAGAGAGATAGATACAAACAGACTGAGATAGATAGATACAAACAGACTGAGATAGATAGATACAAACAGACTGAGATAGATAGATAGATACAAACAGACTGAGATAGATAGATAGATACAAACAGACTGAGATAGATAGATAGATACAAACAGACTGAGATAGATAGATAGATACAAACAGACTGAGATAGATAGATAGATAGATAGATACAAACAGACTGAGATATATAGAGAGATAGATACAAACAGACTGAGATAGATAGATAGATAGATAGATAGATACAAACAGACTGAGATAGATAGATACAAACAGACTGAGATAGATAGATAGATACAAACAGACCGAGATAGATAGATAGATACAAACAGACTGAGATAGATAGATACAAACAGACTGAGATAGATAGATAGATAGATAGATAGATAGATACAAACAGACTGAGATAGAGAGATACAAACAGACTGAGATAGAGAGATACAAACAGACTGAGATAGAGAGATAGATACAAACAGACTGAGATAGAGAGATAGATACAAACAGACTGAGATAGAGAGATAGATAGATAGATAGATAGATAGATAGATAGATAGATAGATAGATAGATAGATACAAACAGACTGAGATAGAGAGATAGATACAAACAGACTGAGATAGAGAGATAGATAGATAGATAGATACAAACAGACTGAGATAGATAGATACAAACAGATTGTGATAGAGAGATAGATAGATAGATAGATACAAACAGACTGAGATAGATAGATACAAACAGACTGAGATAGATAGATACAAACAGACTGAGATAGATAGATAGATACAAACAGACTGAGATAGATAGATACAAACAGACTGAGATAGAGAGATAGATACAAACAGACTGAGATAGAGAGATAGATACAAACAGACTGAGATAGAGAGATAGATACAAACAGACTGAGATAGAGAGATAGATACAAACAGACTGAGATAGAGAGATAGATACAAACAGACTGAGATAGAGAGATAGATACAAACAGACTGGGATAGAGAGATAGATAGATAGATAGATAGATAGATAGATAGATAGATAGATAGATAGACAGACTGAGATAGATAGATACAAACAGACTTAGATAGATAGATACAAACAGACTGAGATAGAGAGATAGATACAAACAGACTGAGATAGATAGATACAAACAGACTGAGATAGACAGATAGATAGATACAAACAGACCGAGATAGATAGATAGATAGATACAAACAGACTGAGATAGATAGATAGATACAAACAGACTGAGATAGATAGATAGATACAAACAGACTGAGATAGATAGATAGATACAAACAGACTGAGATAGATAGATAGATATAGATAGATAGATAGATAGATAGATAGATAGATAGATACAAACAGACTGAGATAGATAGATACAAACAGACTGAGATAGATAGATAGATAGATAGATAGATAGATAGATACAAACAGACTGAGATAGATAGATACAAACAGACTGAGATAGATAGATAGATACAAACGGACTGAGATAGATAGATAGATACAAACGGACTGGGATAGAGAGATAGATACAAACAGACTGGGATAGAGAGATAGATACAAACAGACTGGGATAGAGAGATAGATAGATAGATAGATAGATAGATAGATAGATAGATAGACAGACTGAGATAGATAGATACAAACAGACTGAGATAGATAGATACAAACAGACTGAGATAGAGAGATAGATACAAACAGACTGAGATAGAGAGATAGATACAAACAGACTGAGATAGATAGATACAAACAGACTGAGATAGATAGATACAAACAGACTGAGATAGAGAGATAGATACAAACAGACTGAGATAGATAGATAGATAGATACAAACAGACTGAGATAGGTAGATACAAACAGACTGAGATAGATAGATACAAACAGACTGAGATAGATAGATAGATAGATAGATAGATACAAACAGACTGAGATAGATAGATAGATAGATACAAACAGACTGAGATAGAGAGATACAAACAGACTGAGATAGAGAGATAGATACAAACAGACTGAGATAGAGAGATAGATAGATAGATAGATAGATAGATAGATAGATACAAACAGACTGAGATAGAGAGATAGATACAAACAGACTGAGATAGAGAGATAGATAGATAGATAGATACAAACAGACTGAGATAGATAGATACAAACAGATTGTGATAGAGAGATAGATACAAACAGACTGAGATAGATAGATAGATAGATAGATAGATAGATAGATAGATAGATAGATAGATAGACAAACAGACTGAGATAGATAGATAGATACAAACAGACTGAGATAGATAGATACAAACAGACTGAGATAGAGAGATAGATACAAACAGACTGAGATAGAGAGATAGATACAAACAGACTGGGATAGAGAGATAGATACAAACAGACTGGTATAGAGAGATAGATAGATAGATAGATAGATAGATAGATAGATAGATAGATAGATAGACAGACTGAGATAGATAGATACAAACAGACTGAGATAGATAGATACAAACAGACTTAGATAGATAGATACAAACAGACTTAGATAGATAGATACAAACAGACTGAGATAGATAGATACAAACAGACTGAGATAGATAGATACAAACAGACTGAGATAGAGAGATAGATACAAACAGACTGAGATAGATAGATAGATAGATACAGACTGAGATAGATAGATAGATAGATACAGACTGAGATAGATAGATACAAACAGACTGAGATAGATAGATACAAACAGACTGAGATAGATAGATACAAACAGACTGAGATAGATAGATAGATAGATACAAACAGACTGAGATAGAGAGATACAAACAGACTGAGATAGATAGATAGATAGATAGATAGATACAAACAGACTGAGATAGAGAGATACAAACAGACTGAGATAGAGAGATAGATACAAACAGACTGAGATAGAGAGATAGATAGATAGATAGATAGATAGATAGATAGATACAAACAGACTGAGATAGAGAGATAGATACAAACAGACTGAGATAGATAGATAGATAGATAGATACAAACAGACTGAGATAGATAGATACAAACAGATTGTGATAGAGAGATAGATACAAACAGACTGAGATAGATAGATAGATAGATAGATAGATAGATACAAACAGACTGAGATAGATAGATAGATACAAACAGACTGAGATAGATAGATACAAACAGACTGAGATAGAGAGATAGATACAACCAGACTGAGATAGATAGATAGATACAAACAGACTGAGATAGATAGATAGATAGAGAGATAGATACAAACAGACTGAGATAGAGAGATAGATACAAACAGACTGAGATAGAGAGATAGATACAAACAGACTGAGATAGAGAGATAGATACAAACAGACTGAGATAGAGAGATAGATACAAACAGACTGGGATAGAGAGATAGATAGATAGATAGATAGATAGATAGATAGATAGATAGATAGATAGACAGACTGAGATAGATAGATACAAACAGACTGAGATAGATAGATACAAACAGACTTAGATAGATACAAACAGACTGAGATAGAGAGATAGATACAAACAGACTGAGATAGAGAGATAGATACAAACAGACTGAGATAGAGAGAGATACAAACAGACTGAGATAGAGAGATAGATAGATAGATACAAACAGACTGAGATAGAGAGATAGATACAAACAGACTGAGATAGAGAGATAGATACAAACAGACTGAGATAGATAGATAGATAGATAGATAGATAGATAGATAGATAGATACAAACAGACTGAGATAGAGAGATAGATACAAACCGACTGATAGATAGATAGATAGATAGATAGATAGATACAAACAGACTGAGATAGAGAGATAGATACAAACAGACTGAGATAGATAGATACAAACAGACTGAGATAGATAGATACAAACAGACTGAGATAGATAGATACAAACAGACTGAGATAGATAGATACAAACAGACCGAGATAGATAGATAGATACAAACAGACCGAGATAGATAGATAGATACAAACAGACCGAGATAGATAGATACAAACAGACTGAGATAGATAGATAGATAGATAGATAGATAGATAGATACAAACAGACTGAGATAGAGAGATACAAACAGACTGAGATAGAGAGATACAAACAGACTGAGATAGAGAGATAGATACAAACAGACTGAGATAGAGAGATAGATACAAACAGACTGAGATAGAGAGATAGATAGATAGATAGATAGATAGATAGATAGATAGATACAAACAGACTGAGATAGAGAGATAGATACAAACAGACTGAGATAGAGAGATAGATAGATAGATAGATACAAACAGACTGAGATAGATAGATACAAACAGACTGAGATAGATAGATACAAACAGACTGAGATAGATAGATAGATAGATAGATAGATACAAACAGACTGAGATAGATAGATACAAACAGACTGAGATAGATAGATAGATAGATAGATACAAACAGACTGAGATAGAGAGATAGATACAAACAGACTGAGATAGAGAGATAGATACAAACAGACTGAGATAGAGAGATAGATACAAACAGACTGAGATAGAGAGATAGATACAAACAGACTGAGATAGAGAGATAGATACAAACAGACTGAGATAGAGATAGATACAAACAGACTGAGATAGAGAGATAGATACAAACAGACTGAGATAGAGAGATAGATACAAACAGACTGAGATAGAGAGATAGATACAAACAGACTGAGATAGAGAGATAGATACAAACAGACTGTGATAGAGAGATAGATAGATAGATAGATAGATAGATAGATAGATAGACAGACTGAGATAGATAGATACAAACAGACTTAGATAGATAGATACAAACAGACTGAGATAGAGAGATAGATACAAACAGACTGAGATAGATAGATACAAACAGACTGAGATAGATAGATAGATAGATACAAACTGACCGAGATAGATAGATAGATAGATACAAACAGACTGAGATAGATAGATAGATACAAACAGACTGAGATAGATAGATAGATACAAACAGACTGAGATAGATAGATAGATACAAACAGACTGAGATAGATAGATAGATAGATAGATAGATAGATAGATAGATAGATAGATAGATACAAACAGACTGAGATAGATAGATACAAACAGACTGAGATAGATAGATAGATAGATAGATAGATAGATAGATACAAACAGACTGAGATAGATAGATACAAACAGACTGAGATAGATAGATAGATACAAACGGACTGAGATAGATAGATAGATACAAACGGACTGAGATAGATAGATACAAACGGACTGGGATAGATAGATAGATATGAACAGAGGGACGCAACTTCGGTCCGTACTGAAAAGCACATTTTTCATTGAGATCTTTCGAATACACAGGCCGTTGTTTCAAACAGAAGTAAAGGTGGGTGTCTATTTTAAATACGATGTATCCACTATAATAACATTTTAAATTATAAAAAAGAATAAAGAAAGTATGTTTGTCAGTCTGAGAAACAGCGAAGCTGGAGCCTTCAGGTCGGAGAATTTCGGTTATGACCTGACCTGGAGAGGAATGTGCCCCACAAGGTCTACTCTGTCCGGGACACGAATGAAGGAATACCTACAGAAACATGTGCAGAGAGATGATCAGTTGCTCAACTACACAGCAACACAAAGACTTCGAGGATGAAATGAATTGCTAATAATTTTCTTACAGAAATGTGTTTCGAACATTTTAAAAAATATAATTGCATTGAAAATGTCCGAGAAAGAATTGTTGGTAGCCAGTAATCAATGCAAGTCTTACAGAAAAAAAATCTGGCCTCTCTCATATCTGTGCTTGTGTGTGTATTAGAAATATGAAAGAAAGGATAGTCAGTGGTCATGAATTAACTCATCACAGATAACTTATGGCTATTATATATATGTATATATATATATATATATATATATATATATATATATATATATATATAATGTTTATAGCAGAAAGACAGTATAAAGAAAAATAGTAAAAAAAGAAAAAAAATCACTTCATCTTAGAAAAGTCGTGACAAAACAGAATGAAAACAAAAAGATTATGCAGATAAAAGTCCAGGTAAAATTTCGATTAAAAGAAACGGTAAAAGAAATTTAAGAGCGAAACGGTTTTCTTTGAAAGGTGTGCGTTTATTTTTGTAATTAACACACGTCGATTAACAGGAATGAAAAACGGAAAAGAAAACATTGAGAAAATTTTACAATGTAAGTCAGGCTAAATAAAAGAAAAATAGAAAAAAAAAATTACTTTTCATAAGTTCACACGCAGAGATGAATAATCGCCAGGTTTAAATGATGTAATATTTTAAAAGGGTAAAATTTAGAAAGTGGATAAAATTGTAATTTATTATAAAATCGCTAAATGTCTTAAGAAAACCGCATATATTCTAACTGAATTCACTTTACTGTGAATAAAATTCTTTTGGCAGAATCAAAATTGAGATGTTAATGGAATTTAAAAGCATACGCAATTTTCTCTATTGATTTAAAAGAGTCAATGAAGATTTCCGGCCATTAACAGGAGATAAACATTCGAACAGGGATCGGCAAAAAGTCTATATAATAAAAGGAATATCAAAAAGGAGGTTAAATCGATCAAAAATAAACAAATCAACAATGTTACATATGAATATGACGTTAAATGAGCAGATTTCACATGGCAGAAAACCATCGTCAGCGACGCCCTTACGCCAAAATAATGTTTGTATTTCAAATTTTGTGGCAGAGAATTTTTCAGCAGCAAATTGTTTCATATATATATATATATATATATATATATATATATATATATATATATATATATATATATGTGTGTGTGTATTTACGCGGCAATCCTTCTTTCATGGGCATTTCCTTGAATACGACAGACAAGGTGCGTTGATTTAGTTTTTTATACAATTTCTCAAGCAATCTAATAATTTTTCAGATGATAAATTATATAAAAACTGTTCAAATGTTTTTTTAATCCGAGAGCTTTCGGCTTTACATTTACCCATATATATATATATATATATATATATATATATATATATATAAACAAACATATATATATATATATATGTGTGTGTGTGTGTGTTAAGAGGTTGTTTCATTTTTCAGGCTTTGTATTCGTAACGTTTAGTATTAAATTCTTTGTCTTCATTCTGTAGGCAATGATTAGTGTTGATTTTTTTTAAATGCATGATTCTGTTTCTTTCAGTTTTTCCTTATCAGTCTTTGTATTGAAAGGATTTGATTTGTTAGTTTGCCTTTACACCGTACTTATATATATATATATATATATATATATATATATAGTTATTCAATCCTGTTAAATTTACGGATCAATTTTTTAATGTTATTAAAATAATTAATGAGATTTCATAATTATAAACAGAAGTTTTTGAATGGGAATTTGCCAAAAAAAAAAAAAAAAAAATCAAAACTATCCATTACATTAATTTTTTTGTCTTAATAATCCACCCCTGAACATGATCTTGAATGAGATTGAAAGAAATTGGGAAAAAAATAGACATGAAAATAATTACGGCTTCTTTCTTTTAATGTGTTTAATAGCAATATTAAGAAATTGATTCGTTAATTTGAGATGATTAAAATAAAAATAGGCATACCATATACAGATTATTCAACGAAACATGGATGAATCAAGATATGCTTCCCAAATACACACACATAAATATATATATATATATATATATATATATATATGTGTGTGTGTTTATACACTACCCTCCAAATTTTAACTTCACTTACAAAATTTTGTTTCAAAGCCAACTTTTATGTTCAATTTTATAAATATAGGCAAAATTCCTTGAAATAACACATTGCACAAGTTTTGGGTACATTTGTCATGAAATAACATTTTTGGTTGCAGTACCTTCTTTACCAGGCCCTCTGAGTATGAGGAGACGGACTCTAAATTGTTTTAGAGCCCTCTAACGGAGACCTGAATCACTTTTAGCATACCTTATGCGTTGTGAGATGAGGAAACACCATTAATATATGCTTCATAACTGGTATTATGTGTTTCAGGTTCTATTATTAAAAATATTATTAATAATTTCAATTTTGCAGTTTCAATTTTAATATGGACAAGAAGTTTAATTTATTACCTGAGAAAGGCAAACTATCATCATATTACGTTGTGAAGGCTATAGTTTCCGAGATGAAGCCCAAAATGGTTAAAGTTCAAGACACTGCAGTTGGCTCTGCTATTGTGAGAAACGTGGACACGGGGAAAAAATAACGACAGCCAGAGGTCAGGTCAGCCTAAATCCCGTCCCAAATCACAAGATCATCGGAATCACTAGTATTCGAAATAGGAATCTGGCAATCTCTCAAATTGCTGCACAAGTGAAGACGTCGGGGCTAATGAGTCTGCATTAAGAGTTAGGAGAAGACTCAATGTAGGGGGTGGGGGATGTAAATGGCTGTTGTGCTGCCAGGAAACCACTGCTTAGACCGTCGAATAAACTTAAACGACTCATATGGGGAAAAAACGCCAGCACTTCACCCATTTTGCTTTGTAGTTATAAAGCATGCTGGACGAAATGTGATGATCCGAGCTTGTTTTGCAGGCAGTTGGTGATATTTATCGGGTGCCAGGAATACTGAATCAAATTGGTTATCACTCTATTCTACAGCGCCACGCCATTCCATCTGGGACACGACTGATCGGTGATAGACGTATATTTCGTGTCATTATCTTGCATAAGCACAAACCTAAGCTATGTAAAGACTATTTGCAGAAGAGAACTGAAGAAAATTAACTAATTGTCATTGAATGGCCACCCCAATCACCATTGAATTAATTTGGAATAAATTGGGTCGCAAAGTCAAAAAGCGGTAACCAAGTATTGAAGAAACCTTGTGGACATAATTAAAAGAGGAATGACAATAATTACAGGTGAATATTTGCTTTCATTAGTAAAAATAATGGCAAAATGCCAAGATGATTCTCAGCAGTTATCAAGACGAAGGGCGGATATTTTTATAAATCTCATATTTAGCATTTATCATATTTTAGTTTTGTTACAGAGTAAAAATATGTTAGGCAATTAATCTTATTATACATTTAAGAAACATTTGCCTAAAACTCTGAGTTATTTTCTTTCTATAGAGCTTTTTTTTGAAAAAAATGCTAGATCATCTGAAACATTTGGAGGGTAGTGTGTGTATATATATATATATATATATATATATATATATATATATATATATATATATATATATATGGTGGGGGGCTATGCAGAACTACTATTAAGCCTGGCGTGCTATGACCCTTCAACCACAGAGCATTTCCGGTTAAGTATTCTGTATAGCGTATAGGTTCGATTCCTGTCGGAGGACGCATATTTTCTATGAAATTTCTCGAACATTCAGGCCGGTAAATGTAATTCATATTGTTTAGTTAAAAGAACAGAACGTTTTCTCAAATAACTGTATCCATGAAAAATATTGTATAGAATATATATATATATATATATATATATTTATGTGTGTGTCTGCGTGTGTGTATACATTGTGACTTTTGTCAAGGATTCTTATTGGATTTTAAGTTTTTGTTTTAATGGTCTGGACAAGTAGACAGTATTGTGACGAGTGCTTTGACGTTGTATTTTCCTACGAGAACCATCCTGACTTGCCAGTGACGGGTGTGTTATTTTTTACAGGTATCTGACTATGGAGCAGAACAGACCTATGTTCGGTATTTTTCCTGCCAATGACGTTTTTTGCTAAATGAACATTAACGGTAATGTTTTGAATATTGTTTGTCAATCTCATTACTCTCTTTCTCGCAATCTTCGCCTCTGTTTCTCCCCCAGCCAACTTCTTTCTCTACCTTGAACTCTCGTTTCCGTCCACTCCGTTTCACTACCTTGTCCTCTATTTTCCTCCCTCTCCCTATATTGGTCTATATTTCCCTCTCACTCACAAACCTTATTATTTCAGTTTTCACCATCTCTTTCTGTCTCATTCTTTACCTCTCTTTTCCTTTCCGTTTTGCTACCTTGACCTCTATTTTCCTCCCTCTTGGTCTCATCGAATTCACATTTCTTTCCCTCTCTCTCACTATCTACATATTTTCCCTTCGTCTCCGTTTCATTATCTTCACCCTCTGTACAATTCTTTTATTCTCAATATCACTTTTTCTCTCTCTCTCATATATATATATATATATATATATATATATATATATATATATATATATATATGTGTATGTATATATATATATATATATATATATGAAAATATGTATGAATATATATATATATATATATATATATATTCTCTCAGATGGAATCTATCTGTAGAAGTGACAAAATGAATAAAAAGGGACAGGAAAAAGCTATACTTAGTCGATACGTTTCTTCCTCTGAGGGACATTGCCATGATGAAGTCCCTCAGAGGGCAAAACGCGTTGGCTACATATAGTTATTCTCCTTGTCTCTTTTTAGTCACACACACACACACACACACACACACACACACGTGTTTGTGTGTGTGTGCATTAAATATAAAGAGTTTAACTTCTGTAAGGAATCTATTGTTTTAATATCATTGCAGATTCAGCAATCGAAAACTCAATAAAGAAAATGCAATTTGTCTCCGAAAGGAAACATCGATTTTATTATGTTTATTAAATCATGGCAAAAGTGAACAATCAAATATCATTCACAAAATCAAACGTTAAACAAACAATATTTATTTGACTCAGTTGGTCCGTTTGCTAAAAAGCAGCCATCAAATATATATGAGTGAAAACTTGATTTCATTGAGTCATTTTTCGTCCTGAATAATTTAGAAATGATAAACAGTAATTCTGAAGACTCACAAACAAAAATAAAGTGAACTTGGTTTCCAGGCACTTCCCAATGGCGCTGAACATGAGCATCATCTCCCCAGGCCAATTTTATAAAGAAGTTATCGCTGACAAATTGATAATATTGAGATTTAAACTGGATCCTCATGGTTGGTACGTTAAGGTTCATTCAACCATATTACGCATCTACAATAGTAATGTGCCTAAAAATAACTAAAATGCACAAAATGTTATGATAAAAAAGAATATTAGATGGAGGGTAAGCACAAATTTACCTCTAATAGATACAATTTAGTGTCTGTGGAGTTAAATATTAGTGTGTTTGTGTGTGCGCGTATCTGTGAAGCTAACATTGAATCTCAAAATTATCTTTTTTTATGAGATTATACATTTCCTAAAAAAATTTCTTTTCAACATTTCTTGTAATGTCAGCTACATCCAAATAGAAATTGTTAAAAAAATAAACTTCTCATGTTAACTGTAAACACAAAACATTAAGTATTTGCAGGTCATGTACACTTTTAAATTCAGATTGGCAGCAAGGTCTCGTTTTAGTTGATGTTGCTAGTTATCACCATAACATCTATGATAACAGTTTCTTGTTTGCTCTTATCGCTTGTGGAACTTGCTTCTTGGTTTTCAGTCAACTCCGATTTTCAGAAATCTAAATGCAATGTCAACTGTCATCATCTGTCATGGATCCATTTCTATTTTATTAGTCCTATCTCCTGAAATATTTTTCTCAGATTCTTTCACTCTTGGCCACTCCTTGTTTCTTAGTGATTCCCTCTTTCTTCCTTTTCATGTGCCATGTCCTTTCAGGACGCAGGCGATCATGGCTCTCCATATCCCTCTATCCCTTGCAGCTCTCAACAAGTTCCTTCCCTCTGCTTCCTCCCCTAGACCACTTGCTTAAGCCCGCCGGGTATGTGACGCGTTGTTTTCCCTTATCTCTCTTTCCCTCTAATCGACCCGTGAGTATCAAATTCTCCAGACCCTATTTCCTCATTATTTGCTCTAGATGTGAATAAATGTCAACTGCAGATTTTGAATAAGAAAATCATAAGAATACTTTATAACGAATCCTCGAATCCATTTTATTTTGTATCACTTTCGTATTTTTTTCTCGTCCTAAATATTGGCTCAGGGCCAAGAGTAGTTACGTGCAATTGAAATTATTCGGGAAATAAGAAACATAATTTCGTATTACTGATCTTTGTAGTTTGTCAATCTGAACTGATGAAAAAAAATATCAACATTTGTAAACTGACATATAAAATGTTCTTCAACGACCATCGTTAAAAATTGTTTTCTTTAAGCCAAATGGCTCTCGACGTTTTTGTCTCCTGTGCCGTTTTTACTGTAAGTCATAATCTCATTCCTCACCTTAGATAGTCCGACTCGAAATGGGCATTCCAAATAATAGACATACATTATTAAAAAATCTTCTTCTCCAAATTAGTACATACACTCCTGTGCAAATTAATTGAAACAGCCGCTTTAGTTTCCTTTCTTTCACTATTCGGTCAGTTTTACACCCACTGGAGTGACAGGTTGTTATCGATTTTTATTTTTTCATTAGATTATGTCACTTTGCAGTGATGTGCAGTAATATGAATCTATTTTCTGGGTGTATTGTTTGGCCTTGAGAAATATTGCATCATCCGTGGTTCTATCAAATTTTTATCCCGCTTAAACAATATTGTCTCGACTGACGATTTATTGAGCAACGGCCATTGTCTGTGATGGACGCTGAGCCAAGGAAGCGTACGAAAATTGTAACGCTGCACAAGCACAATGGCAGGCCTTACCAGTGAGCAAATCAAAATACTATTGACTGGCTTGGAAACACTCTTGATTTAATCGATGAATAAAGACTTTGTAGAATGGACATACGAAGTACTGACCATGTACACTGGGTTATGTTTCATTGGGAAAATAGGAAAAAAGTAAATAATAACGGAACTTTTCGTTTTGTTTCAATTAATCCACATGGAACATTTTTATAGTGGTGTTATACAAATTTAATAGCAATAGAAAATGCTGATGGATTTTTAAACCTGAGTACAGTAATTTGTTTGAAATCAGAAGTAATTATTAAATAAATAAGCTGGAGCATACTTCAATAAACAAAACGTAAACAAATCCCAGGGAATTGGATTTCAATAAACAAAAATTCTGTATGAATTTAGAATATCTAAATCGATTTTATTCTGATGAAGATTACAGTCAATGAGGAACTAGCTAAAACGTAAAAGATTTTTCCTTCCCACTGGACCCTCCTTGGGTTAATATTAGCTTTGGTTAAGA